CGAGCCGACGCACTAAGCCGCCGTAGCGACTATATAGAGGGTTACGAACTAGTATAGCAGCAGATATTAAAAGCAAACTAAGACGGAAGCCTTAGTACTAACACAAAAGAATTCAACTATATTATACGAGTTCTTTAGGATATAGAAGAATAGTTTCTAATCGAATATAGGAAATACTAAGTACCTAAGGAACGAGTTACGGAGTATATACGATAATACTACGACGGACTAGAAAATAGACACCCTAGAGTTTTAAAAACAATAGAACTAGTTAAGCGAAGCTTCGGATTCCTATATATGCGACAACGAGTTCTAGAATATATTAAGAAATGTCTACAATGTTAGCGTAATAAGGCTAATAGATACGCTAGATATAGACATATCCAATTTAGGACGCTACTAGATAAACTATAGGACGAAGTTACAATAGACTTTATTACGAAACTACCGAAGTCTAAGGATCCGGTTATAGGACATAGCTACGACATAATACTTATTATAGTCGATAGGCTTACGAAATATATATACTTTATTCCTACTAACGAAGCAAGTACGGCAGAGCAACTCGGATACCTCGTACTAGATGGACTTATACGATACTACGGATTTCTAAAGACCTATATTACGGATAGAGATAAGCTCTTTATATCAAACTACTAGAAGACGCTTATAGCGACACTTAGAATTAAGTACAAGCTATTAACGGTATACTATCTATAGATAGACGGCTAAACGGAAGTTAAGAATCAGGCCTTAGAGGTATACTTACGGCACTACGTTAATTACGTATAAAACAATTAGGCATCGCTATTACCTATAGTACAACTTGCACTAAACAACCAACAATCTAAGACTACGAAAGAGACACTATTCTTCGCTAATTTTAGGAAACATCCGCAGCTGTTCGGGGAACAGTATTTATAGTATCTATACGCGGATAAAGCGATAGTCGCTTTAGAAGACTTAAAGCAGGTGTATAAAGAATTGCAAAGGGCAATTGCCGAGTCTTAAGAAAAGATTACGGGACTATATAATACTAAACGAAAAATAGCACCTTAGCTAAAAAAGGGGGATAAGGTCTACCTTCTAACAAAGAATCTAAAAACCCGGAGATCGACTAAGAAACTAGACTACGTTAAAGTCGGGCTATTTTTAATTAATAAGCCTAAAGGACTAGTTAATTACCGACTTAAACTACCGGACGACGCGAAAATCTACCTAGTATTCTATATCTCTATACTAGAACCTACAGACGCCGAAATACCGTATTAAGAAACATTTTACTTCTAACCTAAGGAAGAAAATAAGTTTAAAGTCGAGGAAATCCTAGATTAGCAAGGTTAGAAATACCTTATTAAATAGAAAGGATACCTACATTTAGAAAACACTTAGGAACCAAAAGAAAACCTATAGAACTATTAGCAGATAATTAAAAAATATCAAAACCGGACAAAAAAGAAATAACTAGTATAGGAATTAAACCTACGACCTCTTAGACCCTATCGATTATAGCGCCTTAGAGTTCTTAACGACCTAGGATAGTATAGCTCGAGGAGCGGGGACTTTAATAGCGTACCTAGCAACTATGTCTTTTATAGCTAAGAATTATACTACTAGACTAACTAGCTAGAAGATAAAATAGATAGGAAACATTGAAAATATATACCTTTAGGACACTAGACTCTCGGCACTCCTACTAGGGATTTTAGAGATAGGCTAGGATATCCTATCTAGACGACTCTAGTTATAAGGCGATATCTATAATCGGCTATCTAGGGGAAACGGCTCGTTAGTAGGCAACGAGAATATTATCGGCTCTATAAGCGAAGAGCCTAGCTCTCTTTCGAGCTCCTCCGCCTATTAAATAGAGGCTTCTTCTACCTTAAAAGCTTATATCTCCCGATCCTCCTTTATACGTAGCGACTTGCGTAAGCGACGGACCTTTACGCGATACTCGAAAAGCTTCCGCGTAAGGAGGTCCTCCTCCTCTTCGGCCGCTTCGAGATCTTTAGCTATCTTTAGGCGCGCCTTCCGGATTTTTTTATACTCTATACGAGTAACTTATATATTATAGGACTAGCCGTATAGGGCGTACTCGGAGCAGCGACCGGAACGAAGATCGACTTTATAGGGTTTACCGGCCTATTCGTAATAAAAGCAGCGGATCGGCATTTCGAGGCAGTCGGCGAGGATATTATTTGCGATATTTTCCTTACGCTAGCGAGAAGACAAATCCTTAGATAACTTTAGTATAACAAAGAAGTTAGAATTAGAAAGTCCTAGAATAAGGGACTATTCCGCTTAAGGAGGGGGATAGTATTACGGATCTAATTAGTTAGAGTCCTTATATAATCTTAGAGCGACGCTAAGACTAGTAGGCTAAGCTATCGCTCTATCTTACTAGGAGCGATAGAAGCGGTCGAGAGCGATAGCGTCGCTTACGTCGCTTACGACTATAGACAAGATATCTCCTTTGTATTTAGGAACGCCGGAATGCCCTTATAGCTCGAGGCGTTTAACTTATGTTACCTACTTACTAATTGGAATTACCTTTATACTAATTATTCTATCTCTGCCTCCCGCTTATATTAGCCTCTCTAAAGAAGCCTCGGCTTGCACGTAATAAGAAGTTACTTAACGATCTGTCGCGAGTAACCGTAACATAGAGTTAGTAAGCGTATATAATATTAGTATAAAAAGCGCCTTCCTTACTTCGAGAACCTACAACCGCCGGCGGCTTAAGATCGCCTTCGAGAACAGATAGATATTGCTATTAAATTAGAAGCTAAGGCGGCACCTATATATAAGGGCATACTGCGCAGTTGTAACTGTATAACTCCGGCTCGTTGCAATTGCTTCGCCTAGTTTTAAATACGCCTACCTTACTACTATATTCTACGAGACTATCTATTTAATAGGGTCGAAATTAGTAAGATATAGTAGCGACGATATATTAAGCTATTCGCTAGTCTTAATACCCTGTTTACCTATAGCTATTAGCGTAAACTCGATACGTAATAACTCGTATTCGAAGGCTATAAAGAGGACGCTGTTTCCTTAGTACAAACACTATAATTACGAGACCTTCGAGGCTACTTTAAAGAGGCCGTAGAAACACTAAATTTAAAGTATTAGCGGATAGCAGATAATCCTTCTATTAACCCTTTAGTAAAGGACTTATTTTATGCCTTCTACGTACAGAAGGTTAAAGACTTCTCGGATAGTTGCTACGTACTAAATATTAACTATTTTATCGCTAATCTATAGGAGGTCCTATTTATAGGCGAGACCGAGCGATAGTAGACTACTTAACTGCCTTCTAAGCCTTCTATACCGATACGATTGCCTCTAGGTACGCTAGAAACATATTACGTCTGTACTAATATAACAATGCGACCGTTACCGTTAAAACGGCGCGTTTAATCGTTACCTATTCGTTAACCTATATTTTTATTACTACTACCTCCGCCTCCGTAAGGTAAGCTTACTCCGAGGCTATTTCTACGCCTTCCGCTACTGCTAACCGTATTCTCAGATACGCCTATACGGCGCGAGACTATTCTATAAATACAGTCCTTATAGCCGCTCGATTTAGACGAGATAGAAGAGGTAGATTTAATAGGAGATAATATAATAACACTACTAGTACGAGGTCTACCTACGCCGCTAGGTACTACCTATTTAACTAACTACTAGCATTAGGGTAAGCTATTATAGGACCTTATATACAGTATTTGCGAAATTAATAGTATTACTATAGACGACCGTTACTTTACTAATTCTAGCCTCTCGTACTTCGAAGAGCTTCTTATCTTCTGCAATATAGATAACGATACTATAGAGTCGATAATAAGCTATATCCGAGACGACGATTACGAACGAGCAGCTAGGCGACTAACTAGTTAGATAATAGACGACTTAGAAGACGACGCTACTAATAACTTGCCTAGTAACAAGCGAATTAGATAAGAGATAAGAGGTGTAAGAACATATAGTAACCGCTAGTTAACCGCTAGTAAGCTAGCAACTACTCGTAGACTACGTACTAGATAATAACGAGGTCGACGAGATAGTAATTAGCGTAGATAGGCCTTCCGCTATAGTCGTAGAAAGCGGTAATTATATAGCAATTCTATAGCAACAACTCTTAGTCTATATAATAGTCTCTTCTACTGCAAAATTGCCACTTCTATAATAGTTAAATAGCCGCTTCTACGATAGTTAGTAATAGTTAACTAATAGGCTTAAGAGAGGCGCCCTTCTTAACTTAATTCGTTACTACCGCCGAGTAGTTTTTAACGCTACAAAATAGGAGGATTGCAGAAGCTTATTGCTAGTAATTACTAGCGGAACGGCTGTTCCACTCCTCTAGTTAAGCTTTCACTAAAACTCCTGACATCCAAGACAAACCCTAAAACAGTCCAAATCCTGAAGATAAGCTCGGTACTCTGCACTTGTCAAGTTCGATTTTCAATAATGCGTCCGAGAGGCAGCTGGACGAGATTGTCTTTAATGCTATGGTACAAATGGCTCGCGATGAACTTGAATGGAGGTCCTACACAGATGAAGAGAAGGAGAAGTTGAAGCAGAGAAAGAAAGAGGCCAAGAGAAAGGCAAGGGCGTCGCGTGGAGGAAGCCATTCCGCTCCCAATCCGCCTATCTACATCGCATCATATGCAGCACCTAGTTGCTGAACAACCATATCAAATTCTACGAGCACCTATAGGAGGTCTAGCGATGTACGGATCCCGCTGGTTGGATGAACGAGCTACGCGGAAGGAAAACACATTGTAGTATATTGTACTGTCTTGTGCCTCTCGATGCCAAGCTTTTGCATACACAGTCTCAGCACAGTGTTCTCTAGCTCGGACTTGGGATGGCTGTCAAACAAAAGTCGCTCTGAGTCCCAGTAGACGAGCAAACAACAGCATAAGAGATTCGAAATGTTGCCATGCTCACGCATAAAAGCCATCCTTCGCCAAAAGCACATTATCGCAATCATGCTTCACTCCACCAATTTGATTCCACTTCTCATTCTTCTCTCCGGCGTTACAAGAGTTCGAACTGCGGTTATCCAATTTAATGCCTTAGAAGCAGACCCTCCTCCACCCAATACCCGGACTTGTGCTGGCAAACCCTACACTTCCGGCTGGGCCTTCTACAGCACAACCATCATCGTACACTACGCAAACGGCATCGGCTGCGAAAATGTAAAGAACCACCTCATCGTCACGATAGGCGAGACATCTTCTCCAAAACCACAGTTACAGAATTGTGATGTTACGCCTGGAGGTGAGTTCAGACCGTGTATAAATTCGAACTTGACTGACGGGACGATGTATGTAGGAAATTTTGTAATTTGTAATTGGAGATGTCTTTCAGCGTATGCCGGAATTGGAACGTTTTTGCAGTTTGCTGCGCCGAGAAATCAGGCTGAACATATTAATCAGGCGTTGGGGGAAGAGTATCCTATGGTTGAGGGGGGGTTTGATTGTCCGAATTCTACTTGAGGTTTGAGGGAGGGGAGAAGTAGCATGGCTTTGATGATTTGGATATGTATGTAAGCGTATGTCTCTCCTCCTTGCTACTGCCGCTGCGTTCCGTAGGCAACTTGTTGCTTGTGAAGCAATGGATGGAATAGGTAGAAGTAGCAAGCCTGCAGTCGAAATCGAAATTGGAGAGAGCATGAGCATGAGTAAGCAAGCAAGGTTTCGGACCCGAGTCCGAGTCCGAGCGCGTCAACTTTCACATGTTCACCACAAGATATGATTCCGCTGCTCGTCAACCACGACTCACTGACTCACGAAGGAACAGCTCTCAGCTAACCAATACGCAGCAGAATCCCGACGTACGCTCTTGTCTACCAAGTTCTACTCCAAAACTTCCAACCAAAACCAACAAAATGAAGACCGACAACTACCTCTCTGCTTGCCTCGCTGAGGCCGCCAAGTCCCCGCTCCACTACCGTCACGGTGCTATCGTTGTTCGTGGCGGCAAGATCATCGGTCAAGGCCACAATGACTACCGCCCAGGCTTCAACGGCGGCGCGCTCAAGCATGGTCGCATCGCCAAGGCCGGCGCATTCGACGGCGATGCGGTTGCCGAGTTGAAGAAGAAGCTGAAGCGAAAGCAGAAGTTACAACCGCCGAAGCAGCAGCAGCAGCAAAAGAGTAGCACGTTCACGCCATTCGAGGGCAGTCCGAGCGTTGGCGGCGGCCACAGCGTCAACCAGCCGCTCTCGATGCACTCGGAGATGATGGCCATCTACTCTGCTCTCAACGCCTCCTCGACCATGTCCTCTAGTACCTTCTCGCGCGAAAAACCGTGCTTCAAACTACCGCGTTCGGATAAACGAAAATCTCGACTACGACGCGAGGTCCTCCTTGCATACGTTACCGCCGTGTGCGAGGCGGCCGCCGGCACTGGCCAGTTCCAGGTTCAAGAGTGCGGTTTTGAAGCTTCCACATCTCAATCAGGTGGAGTTGAACCAGATTCTCAACCACAGCAACAAAAAGTACGACAATTACAACGACAAAGCACCGCAGTACCACACGGAGCAGAGTACTGCGTTACACGAGGAGGAGAAGCCGAGTACTGTCTTTCACGGGAAGAAGCAGTGTCAGAATCATCATCACGCGAACTTGAACGAGAAGAAGAAGAATGGGAAGAAGAACGAGAAACAAGATCTACGACAACATCAGTATCAGTATCGGTACGGGGCGTACAAGTATGAGCCTGCTCGAACAATCACGGGCAAACCGTTGACACGAAAGCACGATGAAACGACTATAAATGACTATGATGATCATGATCTGACGACTTCTACGACCGGTAGTGAATACTTCAGCACATCGAGCGGGTCGGCGTCTGATCGCAGTGACAAGCGAAAGAAGGACTACAAACGCTCCGGGAAGACGAAGACTGCCAACCCAACACTGGACCATGATGCTTCTCCGGATCAGCCAATGCTGTTACCATCTGGACGCGCTGGTAGACATGACGTGATCCATCGACAGCAGCATTCAAGGCTACGTGGCGCAGATGTATATGTTACCAGACTCGGCTGGTCTGGCAAGCCAAAGGATCAGCCGCCGAAGGCCAAGAAGGCTGCGAATGCGAGCGACTCGCAGGACACTTTGTCAAACGCGAGCTCTAGCTCTGGCCCGGACACGCATGCATTAGCAGACAGCATTTCATCTCTATCAGCCCTATCTGTCTCCAGCTCGCATTCTGGCACTGGGTCGCTGCATGATGAATTAGTCAATCGTGAGCCATCAAGATCTCCTGCTGCCACTCCAGCTGCTCATGGGCATGACTGCTTCGACTCTAGCAAAATAGCTGCTTCTCGACCTTGCTATCGGTGCATAACTATCATGCATCAGGTCGGTATTAGGCGTGTGTTCTGGACGAATGATGCAGGCCATTGGGAGGGAGGTAAGGTCGCCGCGTTGATCGCAGCTATGGATGCTGGAATGGAGAGCAATGCCACTGGCGAAGGTGGTCCGATCGGCAATGGTGTCTTTGTGACCAAGCATGAGGTGCTGATGTTGAGGAGAATGATGGGAAGTAACGGCAACGGCAAGTGAAGTGTCCTCAAATTCATCCTGTTCGGCTCTTCCAACTTCGATTTCCTTCTGGCTTTCTCGTTCTCCAAGACCTGCCGCAGCACCGCTCACTGGCTGCACTACATGACGCTTCGAAAGAGAAATCGTCTTTGCAATACATCTCAAAGCAGATCTGTCTTGGCACCTAGAGCTGAGCCACGCTATGGTTTATGATTGATTGATTACGTGCACAATTACATACAGCCAGCCCTAGAAGATACTGCCAATGGCAGTCTCCAGTCACGATGATCACCTGCCTCACATCCATTTGTCCAAGGGATGGACTTCTGTGAAATATGGACAAGACTCCACCTCAAAATTTCCATTATCCACGAATCCAGGTTCCGCTTTTCTCGGTAGAGACAAAAGATTCTCCGTCCACCACATCTCCCTCTGCACAAGATTTGTCGCCGCAGGCTGGTACATCATCGGACCATTATACGTCTTCGCCTCAGCCATCGCAAAGTCAATCGAAGAATCCGTAGGAAAAACGCCTTGACTCCCAGGTGGAAGTTTGATCTTCCACAACTTGGAACATCTGGTCAGCGATGAACCCTATCGACCGAAAGATCCAACTCACCTTTCCGACATCTGTAAATCTGCCCAAAGCTGGCATCTCTTGACGTCCAAAGATGCCTCCGAGAGGAGGGTTGTCAAAATCTTCGGGCATGTGAAGACTCGTCGCCGCACCTCGAGCCATTCTCGCGAAAGCAGTCGACATGGCTTGGTAGTACTGAGCCGTGAGCGCCTCTGTAGAGTACACGAATTGGAGGCGAGTGTCGTTTTTCTGGTACATCCACTTCGGCCCTGAAATGTATAAGTACCATACCAGGCTGCCTGAGTATCCGACCTACAAATCTGCCAAATCGAAACGAAGAATTTCTGGCGGCCACAGCTCCATGCTCTGGCAGCCTCTCCGCCACCCATGGAATAGAAGAGTGCTCTGTTCACGAGCGTTTGCGCATACTCTGGCTTCGTGTTTTGGAGGAACCATTCTGGAGTGCACGTGGTGATCGGATAGCATATCGATCGCGCGAATTCAGGAGGTGGTGTCTGAGGTAGACTGTGCACGACTGTAATCACGAATTGGATAAAGGAAAGGATCTGCCAAAACTGGGTCATTTTGCTTGGAAGTTGATAGCGAGCGAAGAGCTTGCTTTTTCGAGATTACGTTTCAAGTCCAGGGAATCATGAAATCGGTGCGTATGCAGAGGATATGCGAAGAGGACATTGCTGAATACTGGGATCAATGGGGCGCAGCTTTGGAGTCTTCCATCTCGAATTCGGGCATTCAGTTAGTACATGTCTCGCGATGCACTGCTGACAGCAAACAAATGCGGTGATCATATGCGTGCACTTCTACTATTTATAGCGCATGAATTCTTCTGTTACTATGGGCATTGCCTGAAGGCTTGTCATACATACATTGCGAAAAATAGCTGTCGTTATATCATTGCGTCGTGAAGATAAGGTTTTGCAAGCAGTGAAATCGGAATGACGAGCAAAATCGCATCATCTCAGCGGCGTGCAGCGCCAACGACACTTGGGTCTCCAAGGAAGTCAGGCACCAGGCCATCGTCGCCTCGCGGAGCTTGTTCTTGTCTAGGCCGTCGTCTCCTCCCAGAGGCCCTCTCTCCTCGCCGGCCCATGTTGGCATCGCCGAACGCGCTCATAACCACGTTGGCAGCATTCTGCACGAAATTATCGTTCATGAAATGTCCTCCTTCGTGCTCAACACCCCAAACTCGCACATCTGCCATTCGATGTCGATCTGGCGGCTCGTCATCGTGGTCGAAGATACTCGCTAGCTGCAGTCTCCGAGCTAGATCTTCATCAAGACGTTCTTGTCTTCGTCGCTGATCAAGCTCATCCTGATATGTAGGCATTTCTTGTCTGGCTTGCCGCAACGGTCGTGCATTTGCAGGTCTCGCCGGCAGTGGCATACCAGCTGCGCCCATGACTCTTTCGAGCACAGGCAAAATCGGCTCAGGAACACGCATATGCAGTAGTCGATCTGCGTCTGGTAGTTGGCTGTAGTTGAACCAAGGGCAGTCGCACGTCTTCCACTTTGAACCACATAGAAAACAGAACTCTGCAGTACAGCGGCACGTAATATGGTTGCAACCTTCCTTAAGCTCGACCAGGGCATGACAGCTGTAGCAAGACTGCCATCCTTTCTCTTTCGCCTGCTCAAGGAGTTGAGCTATTTCGGGATCCTTTGGGCAGTCCCTGGACTTGTGCATCTTTCCATTACAGAGCGTACACACTTTGGTCGCACAGCGAGGACACTGTGCGTACTTGCGCCCCGATGACGTGTGGAAGTGTTTCGGCTTGATCCATTCTCCGCATTTGGAGTTCGTACAGTAGATCCTGTTCTTGGTGTGGTACTCCTGGTACTTGCGATTCCACAGCATTTTGAATTTGAGATCAAACAGGTTGTCGACGTGCTTTAGAGGTATATGGTCATTAGTACAGCATCTGGGAGGCATGTGTGCGGGGTCTTTCACAGACATCTCGAACACTCTTTTGAGGCAGTCGTGACACATCCGATGACCGCAAGCCAGCTTTGCAGAACGTACGACTGGCACATCGTCAGAGGCACAGGTCAGACATTCTACGAGTCTTGGGGGAGGCGGCACAGATGCCACGCTATTGCGGCGCCATATGCCCAGTAAGGAGGCAGTAGAATCTCGCTTGGTAGATCGGCGAGGTGAGGCAGGAGCAGCTTTGGGATCACTTTCTGCTTCGGTGATGGTGGCAAGCTTTGCAGGTATTGTGGCGGTGCGCTTCAAGGAGGATCTCGAGGACTTGGATGACTTTCGTCGCTCGACGGTCTGCGCAAGGCCAACTTGTGATATGCTATCTTCGGGCCGAAGCTCATCTTCAACGACGACGGGCAGATGTCGTTGCGATGACGAGCTGCTCCGCTTCGGCCTCTTGTCTGGGTTCGACTGCGACTGCAATCGCTCTTCCCCCTCGGCCCCGGGCAACTCAGTGTTGGCGGCATACACGAATTCTGCTGATTGGGCTCGATCAACAGCAGCGCGTCTTGTAGCCTTGTCCGAACTGCTTCCACGCCTTCTTCGTCGCCTGTTGCGCTCGCTGTGGGCGGCCTTTACTGTCGATGTAGATATTGGTGGAGGTTTCGCCTGTGCTTTGACGGTTGATATCGATGAGACTCGTCGTCGCTGAGAAAGCGGTACACTGTAGTACCCCAGCCGCTTCGTTCGCAGTTCTTCGACATCTGGATTCGCCGTTGCAGCCTCGTCGGCCTCTGCTTTCACGCTGCTCTTGTGTCGTGCCGAGGCCTGCGATCTGTGTGAGCGTGTGGCTCTACGTCCATGGATACTGCGGCCACCAGGGCTGCTGATAGCCATATTGAAGATGACAACGACATGACTTGGAGATTTGTAAGGCTGTGTAGTATTCGAATTCGAGCTCTCTTTAGTGGCTGTCAGCAAAGGTGGCTAACAAGGTTAGACCAGCGGGTACTAGGGGCTTGCCGAGCCGGCCGACAAAGCTTGTCCTGAAGCAGTGACGATGAGTGAAATTGCTATGACTTCGCGACACCGCACTTCTCTTGACATTGGACGAAATCAAACACCTTCACTTGGCTGGTCACGGCCTGCATTGATCCAGCCCAAGGTCACGTCTGGCATTGTGCATCAAGCATTCAGCAACTCCAATGCCTAGAGAATTCTGTCTCCCTTTTCTGCTTTCAGAGTCGTAGAAGAACCATAAACTACATGTACGACAGAATTCACTTGAAAACACCGAACAATATGGCTCTCGATTCAAAGGACGTTCGTCCGGATCCAACATCAGATCTTCACTGGTCTGACTATCGAGGCGCCATTCATGAGATTTTCGCAGCCAACGCCAAGAAACACCCGGAGCGATCGTGCGTAATTGAAACGGCATCCTCGACAACACCAGAGCGAAACTTCAGCTACAAGACGATCAATGAATCTTCGAATGTCGTGGCCCATCACTTGGTCAGCAATGGCGTGCAACGAGGCGAGGTGGTCATGGTCTATGCCTACCGAGGCGTGGATCTGGTTGTGGCCGTCATGGGGGTTCTCAAGGCAGGAGCGACGTTTAGTGTGATTGATCCGGCGTATCCACCGGATCGTCAGATCATCTACCTTGAGGTTGCACAGCCTCGTGCTCTTGTCTGTATCGAGAAGGCTAAGAAGGAAGCGGGAGAGCTTCATTCGAGCGTTAGGGCTTACATCAATGAGAAGTTGCAGCTTCGAACCGAGATTCCAGGACTAATGCTCCAAGATGATGGATCTGTCACTGGAGGCTCTCTTCAAGGCAGTCATGACTGTCTACAGCTTCACACTGCCAAAAAGGAGGATTTGCCTGGCGTGCTGGTCGGTCCAGACAGTACGCCGACCCTATCATTCACATCCGGATCCGAAGGTCGACCTAAAGGTGTCAAGGGTAGACATTTCTCTCTGGCTTACTACTTCCCATGGATGTCTCAGCGTTTCAATCTTACAGAAAAGGAGAGATTTTCGATGCTGAGCGGCATCGCACACGATCCAATCCAGAGAGACATATTCACACCTCTTTTCTTGGGTGCGAGCTTGATCGTACCTCCAGCTGAAGAGATCACTTTCGATAGACTTGCCAAGTGGGCTAGCGATAACAAGATTTCGGTCATGCACTTGACACCAGCTATGGGACAGATTCTGCTTGGAAGTACAGAACCGAAGATCGAGAGCTTCCATGCCGCATTCTTCGTTGGTGACGTTCTGCTAAAGCGCGACTGCCGAAGACTTCAGCACTTGGCCCCAAACTGTCGCATCAAGAATATGTACGGTACAACGGAAACTCAGCGTGCTGTTAGCTATTACGAAATTCCTTCTCTGAACGAGGATCCGACTTACCTGGACAAGATGGGCGACGTCATCCCCGCTGGTACTGGCATGCTGGATGTGCAACTTCTTGTTGTAGATCGCGAGAAGAAAGAGCGTCAATGTGAGGTGGGCGAGATTGGTGAGATCTATGTCCGAGCCGGTGGTCTTGCCGAAGAATATCTTGGTGACCCCGAGAAGAACGCCCAGAAGTTTGTGTGGAATTGGTTCGTCAAGAACCAGAAGTGGGTCGATGAGGATAAGAAGCGTGTCGAAGCTGCCGGTCAGCCAGAGCCATGGAGAGAGCAGTACTTTGGACCTCGGGATCGCATGTATCGCTCTGGTGATCTTGGACGCTACATGCCTGATGGGAATGTTGAATGTGTTGGACGAGCAGATGACCAGGTCAAGATTCGTGGTTTCCGGATCGAACTAGGCGAGATCGATACTCATCTCAGTCAGCATCCACTGATTCGGGAGAACGTGACGCTCGTCAAACGCGATCACAACGAAGAGCAGATCCTGGTCTCGTACTATGTTCCGGACATGCCGAAATGGAGGGCATGGTACGCCGAGCAGGTCGAGCAAGCACAACCTACATCCAATGGAATTCCTCGCCGCAGAGAATCTGCGAAGGAAAGTCATGGCTTGGTCCAGAGGATGAAGATCTTCGACCTCTTGACTGTCGACGCCCGTGAGCGCCTGAAGAAGAAGTTGCCAATTTACGCTGTGCCAACGTTGTTCATTCCAATGCTACGACTACCTTTGACGCCAAATGGAAAGGTAGACAAGCGCGCATTGCCGTTCCCCGAACAAGCGGATCTACTTGGTGCTTTGCCACAAGCTGCCGACTTAGACAAGCGGACCGAGACAGAGAAAGAGCTTGCAAATATCTGGGCCGAGCACCTGAAGACCCGCAACCACACAGCAGATACGCTGCCTCGCGATTCAAGCTTCTATGACCTTGGAGGCGACAGTATCATGATGGTGCAGATTGTGCCAAAGATCAATCGCAAGTGGCAAGGCGCAAATGTGCCTATGTCAGTAATGGCTGCAGGTCAACCGACGCTTGAAAAGGTCGCAAAATACATCGATCGTTCACTCCACCCAGTCGGCCTTCGTATGGATGCCATTGATGACGAAGACATCGAGCAAACCGTGCATTATGCAAATGATCTTCCAGACCAAATTGCGCAACTGCCTGCATCGATTTCAAGTGGGAAGATGCGGACGACGGAGACAGGCATCAACATCTTTTTGACTGGTGTGACTGGGTTCCTTGGTGCATATATCCTGAATGATGCCTTTATGCGCTCCCCACCGAATCATGTATATGCCCACGTCCGTGCCTCGAGCACAGTAGAAGGTCTACAGAGAATACGGCAGACCTGCACAGCTTATGGCTTGTGGCACGAGTGGTGGGCCACCGAAGGCGTTCTTGAGGTTGTTCTTGGTGACCTTGAGAAGCCTCGACTTGGACTGAGTGAGAAGGACTTCAAGACTATCACCGAGGGTGCCGATTTGGTTATCCACAACGGTGCTCGAGTGCACTGGCTTATGCCTTATGAGAACCTCAAAGCTGCCAACGTCACTAGCACACTTGAGGCCATCAAGATCTGTGCTACCGGCAAGAGCAAGCGTTTATCCTTTGTCAGCTCAACAAGCGCTATCGATACGGAGCACTACGTCAAGCAGTCAGATGCTGGCCAGCCAGTGCTGGAATCTGACCCTCTCGAAGGCAGTAGGCAAGGTCTTGGAACAGGCTATGGCCAGAGTAAGTGGGTGTCCGAGGCACTCATCAAGGAAGCCGGGAAGCGTGGGCTTGATGCGGTGATTGTGAGATCCGGATATGTCCTTGGAGATCCTAGAACTGGTGTCAGCAATCTGGACGACTTCCTGGTGCGAATGCTCAAAGGTTGTGTGCAAGTCGGAGCAAGGCCTGATATGACCAACACGATCAATGCTGTCCCAGTCACTCGTGTGGCTCGGCTGATAAATGCCGTCTCATTCCATGGCACGAGCGGCCAAGTCGCCTTCGTAGATGCCCATCCTCGTCCGACCTTCAACGAATACCTTGGAGCACTGGAGACATATGGTTATAGCACTCCTGTTGAGCCTTATGAGAGCTGGAAGCATAAAGTCGAGAAATACCAGGAGGCAGGCCACAGTGGAAAGGACGAGCTGGCGCTGCTGGGTCTGTACCATATGGTCACTGGCGATTTGCCTGCTGCGACCAAGGCGCCGAATGTCGATGATCGGAATGCACAAGCAGCGCTGGAAGCCGATAGCGCCATCGCACCTAACGATACGCCTGCAACCGTCACCACGGAAGCAGTTGGCTCGTATCTGGCTTTCCTGGTGGCCAGAGATTTCATGTCGCCTCCCGCAAGTTCTGCCACGCCACTGCCCAAGATCCAGCTATCCCCGCAGCAGGTGGAGGCTTTGAACAAGGTTGGAGGTCGTGGTGGCGGTGCTTGCTAAGTCTCCAGCAGAAAATTGTAGTCGAGCTCGGCTGGTTCTACCGCGAGAGAAAGCTAGAATGACGACATTATAATAAAGACATCCTTGTGCATTCAGAAGTCTATGCCGTGATTCTGAACGCAAATGCTATGTGTGAGCCAGGTCGACAGACTCAACAAGGCAAAAGGCCGATGTAACGTTGTAAGCATCATTATACAATGCGGCTCTTCGGACCCGGATAAACCATTCGCCCACCCCTAAGCTCTGGTCAAGCTCTGGGGTTGTTCGATCATCCATGGATCATTATATTACGATGCGAGCTCGGGTAAAGACTTCGCTCTCCACTCTCTCTCCAGGCTCTAGCAGACTAGCAGACTAGCAGACTAGCAGACTAGCAGATCTGCATCAATTGGAGGGCTTCATTTCACGACCCTGCACTGCGCCATCACGGATGCTGCTTCACAAACCCCGCTGGCAGTTCAGGTGACCGACGGGAGCGGACATGATTTAGGTAGGCGGAGGTAGGCAGAGGTAAGTTAGGTGACTGAGTTGCTGTCTCATTTCAACATCTTGCTCCGCACGCGCCTTCACGCGCTTGTTGATCGAAAGACCTTGCCAAGATGCGGTTGACCACACCAGTCCTTCTGGCACAACTCGTCAGCGTCTCAGCAGCTCAGAACAAGACAGGACCGTCCGCGACGCTTGCACTCGACGTCGACGATCTGTGGAACATCTTCGTAGGCCCAGTATCGATCGCCGCGACCACGACCGTCGTTTCGCCGACTCCAGTCCCAAGCGCCGAGCTGATCCCGCCTCCACAACTCTATCGTCCATCTTTCCCATCCGGGCAGCAGGTCATCGCAGCCATCAAGAACGAATCATGGTCGTTTCCAAAAGACTTCTTGTGGGGTGTTGCAGGAGCAGCATATCAGGTTGAAGGAGCAGTCAAAGCAGATGGCAGAGGCCCGTCCATATGGGATGTAGCAATACATCGTGTTCCAAATTATGTGACCAACAACTATACCGCTGATATCAGCGACAACAACTACTACCTCTACAAGCAAGACATTGCTCGATTGGCTGCAATGGGCGTCAAAGCTTACTCGTTCAGCATATCCTGGAGCCGTGTGCAGCCTTTCGGGAATGGACCTGTCAACCAAGCTGGTTTGGACTTCTACAGTGATCTGGTAGACACTTGCCTGCAATACAATGTCACACCCATTGCGACCTTGTACCATTGGGATCTCCCTGCCTGGCTGCAGAACACGTACGGCGGCTGGCTTGGTTCGGAGATTGTGGACGACTTCGTGGAGTATGCTCGCATCACATTCCAAGCACTCGGCGACCGAGTGAAACACTGGTACACCGTCAATGAGCCTCAGGTATTCTGCAGCAATTATCCTTTACCCGCAGCGTATTTCAAGAACACCTCGATTCCAGCCGTTCAACAACAGTTCTTCTGCGGCCATCACGTCCTCCTGGCACACTCGCAAGCCTACCATCTCGGCAAGAGAATTTTAGGGAATGATAGCGTCATCTCATTGAAACTCAATGGCGGCTACAAAATTCCTCTCACAAACAGTACCGAAGATGCCCAGGCCGCCCAGCGCTCCTGGGACTTTTCCGAAGGCTGGTATGCGAATCCAATATTCCTGACCGGCGACTATCCAAATTCCCTCAAGACTTTCGTCTCGGATTTCCTCCCCGACTTCACCGCCGACCAAAAGTCCCAAATCAAAGGCTCAGCAGATATCTTTGCGCATGACGCCTACACCTCACAATTCTTCTTCGCTCCCGAAGGCGGCATTTCCGCTTGCACTGGCAATCCATCCAATCCCTTATACCCATCCTGCGCAAATTCGTCATACACCTACTCGAAAAACGACGGAGGCTGGCCCATCGGTCCCGCAGCAGATCCAGGTGCTCCATGGCTCCACAAAGCTACAGAATGGGTTCCTCTCTTGATGCACTACATTCAAGATACATGGGCAAATGGCAAAGGCATCGTCATCGCTGAGTTCGGCTTTGCCGAGCCGTTTGAGGCTCAAAAGACGCTGCTTCAAGATATCTTGTACGATCCTATCCGCACGAGCTACTATCACGACTACATGCAATCCGTGTTGTTGGCGCTGAGCGAGGGAGTCAACATTGTGGGAACTCTGGCTTGGAGCTTTGTCGATAATTTGGAATGGAATCAGGGCTATGGGACGAGATTTGGGATGCAGTATGTTAACTTCACGGACCCTGCGAGACCACGGTACTATAAGTCGAGCTTTTTTGAGTATGTGAATGCGTTTAAGGTGTATCAAAAGCAGGCGTAGGATTAATAAAGGAAATGGAAAATTGCTGATGTGGTTGCTAGGTGCAGACAAGTCCTAGGTAAAGATTTCATTTCACATATCAAAATTTCTGTCTGGCCTGGTTTCGATCTTTCCTTTCAATGATTGTTACACAATTCGCAATCTAAGGTCTTTTAAAGATCTGTCTCCTCGTCTAATTACGATTTAGCTTGCTCCTATAGTCTTATCGTCTACTAGCTATTCTAGGCTACGTAAATTCTCGAAGATTAAGACGAACCCTTTATAGAGCGCTATAGAGAAGACTATTACTAAGCTATTAAGAATTAGAATCCTTATTTTCTTCTAAACTTTTAAGATAAAGGGTAACTTATAAGTAGAAGTACTATACCTAGACTCTAAACCTAGTACTAGCTAGCCGACCGAGCTCTAGCGACTAATTAATATCTTATTAATATACGTTAAAGACCTTTAGAATCTCGCTAGTAGCGAGGATAGTAAAGTTAGCCCTATAGCCCGCTCGAGTACTAGCGATACTTTAGAAGGTAGGTAGGCTCCTACGCTAGTACGTCGCTCCTTATTTCTATAGATAGAGAGGAGTATTATTCGAAGCGTTATATAGAGTAAACTTAAAGCTATTATATACTAAAATCCTAAATTAAAAGTTCGGATTTTACTAGGGCTCGGTCGGCTAGCTAGGGTTTAGTTTAGAGTCTAGGATATTGTTAGGACTAAAGAGGTTATACGTAATTAGTATATAACTAGGCTCGAGTAAAGCTAGGGTCTTAATGCCTTAGGTAGGGCTTAGCGCTTAGCAATAGGCTAACTTGCCCGCCTTCCTCTCTCTCCTTCTAGCTCCTTATCGAATACTACCTATACCTACTACTACCCTATCTACCTGCTAAATTGTGCTAATATACCCTTATTATATAGTATTCGATCTACTCTTTAAGGGTAGTAGCTAGATAGTCCTTATTTCAAGCTTTTAGCGGTATAGCTATAAAAACTATCGATTTAACTATATTATACCCGAAGAACGGGACCTATACGTACTATTCTACTAAAACAACCGTACTAATTATTAAGCAAGGCCTTCTATACGGCCTATTATACTAAGTTAAGTACATTAGGCCGATACTCGCTAATTCCGCTATATCCGTACTATAAGGGGCTATAATATATTATTAGTGCTACCCCTTATTATAATAGCCGGCTTATTACGAAGCAATAACAATAACAACCGCGGCGCCGCTAGCAGCGCTAGCAATAACAACTCTAGTAGTATAGTGCCTACTAAAGAGCCTACCGGAGGGCCTACTAAAGAACCTATAATTCTAGGTAACGACCTAGAATTGCCTATCGACGACATTCTTAATAACATTATTAATCGTCGATATAGCTAACTAGCCTTTAGTCCTTAACTAGTAGGGAGACTTTAAGAAGCTACCTAAAACAGGCTTACTGCCCTACGTTAAGAATAGTAGCTAAAGGATAACCTCCTCGAGCTCCGTCGCCTTTAGGAAGCCCTAATAACTGCTACTAAACTAATAGTAGGACCTTCCTTACTACCTAGTTTAGTCTAAAAGAAGGATACTAAACTTAAGGACTATACTGTATTTAATAGCTCTAGCCGAAAGCAATATAACGACTACATTCGCGACTATAAGCTTAACTAGCGAAATGTACTAAGGGCTCTTCCGGACGATTACTCGCTAGTCGTCTATACTATATAATACATTAATAGAGACCTAAAGCGTACCTAGGATAATATAAGAAGGGTTATATTAGTAGGTAGATAGGGTAGTAGTGTATTAGTACAGTATTCGATAGAGATCTAAGAGGAGAGGGAGGAAGGTAGGCTAGTTAGCCTAACGCTAAGCGCCAAGCCCTGCCTAAGGCATTAAGACCCTAGCTTTACTCGAGCCTAGTTACATACTAATTACGTGTAACCTCTTTAGTCCTAATATACGCTTCCCTTCTAAAGGCCGCGCCCTCGTAGCCGGTCTATATTCTATTCTTAACCTTTGTCGCTACTAACTTAGTAGGTCTAGCAAGCTTCTTAGTCCGCGCTAAATTAAACACGTAATTACCGGTTATATAACTATATTAAACCTTACCTCTAATATAACACAATGTCTAACTCTAACTACGCTATCCTTATATATAATAAAGTAATATATAACTAAAAGAATTAAGGACTATCGACTAATTACAATACGAGCGCACCTTCCCTACTATAATAGGTAGGTATACGGGATATTATAGTACTACCCCCGTTCTAAGTAATATCGTACCGAGTTCTCTACGTCTACTCTTAAAAGACCTAGAAATGTCCGCTTCCGAGGGTTGTTATTCTTATTATTACGAGGGCTATTATTGTTCGTAGTTTCGCTAACCCTAATTAGTTAGGTTTAGTAGCCTTTAATTGTCAATCTTATCTTATCTTTTTAGAAAAAACACAGCTCGTCTAGTTTCTATAGGTAAAGGCTATTATAAGTGCAGTAGTTAAGGTTCGCCTCGCTTAAAGGATTAGAAAGATCGAGGAGTAACCTATTGTCCGCAAGATCGACCCCGGCTAGCTTAGCTCTATAGTTTTGCCCTTAGTTAGTCTATTAACTTAATCTTTTAAACCTCAATATTTTAACTTAGCCTTAAAGTTTTAATTAAACCTTTAATATAGCTATTCTTTTGACTTAATTAGTATAGCGCGCTTCTAGCCTTAGGCCGTAGTATAGGTAAGGTTGTCTTCGTAAGTATAGCGACAATAGTAGGTAATATTAATAATAGCGGCGCTATTCGTCTTAGCGCTAACTTTACCTTGCCTCTAATTTCTTTCTTTAACTAACAACAACTTAGTAATACTATTACTAATATAGACGTGTCTTCCCCTCTTTAAGTAGCAATATATACCCCGCAATACTATTACTAATATAGCCGCGTCGGCCGCCGGCATACTGCTAGCTCGTAGCGCGACACTATTATCTTCGATAGGATAAAGGAATAGAGGGGCGCTAAGAGAAGGGTCTTATAGGGTGCGCTAGTAAAGAGGTAGATTCTATAAAAGAGTATACGTATTAGGACTAAAGAGGTTACACGTGATTAGCATGTAACTAGGCTCGAGTGAAGCTAGGGTCTCGATGCCTTAGGCAGGGCTTAGCGCTTAGTAGTAGGCCAACTTGCCTGCCTTCCTCCCTCTCCTTCTAGCTCCTTATCGAATACTACTCGTACCCACTACTACCCTATCTACCTACTAATATAACCCTTCTTATACAGTATTCGATCTACCCTTTAAGGGCAGTAGCTAGATAGTCCTTATTTTAAGCTTTTAGCGGTATAGCTACGAACAAGACTAATCTAACTATATTGCGCCCGAAGAACGGGACCTATATGTACTATTCTATCGAAACAACCGTACTAATTATTAAGCAAGGCCTTCTATACGGCCCACTACACTAAGTTAATCGTACTAGACTAATATCTACTAATTCCGCTATATCCGCATCTTAGGGGCTAATAATACATTATTAGTATCACCCCCTACTACAATAGCCGGCTTATTACGAAGCAATAACAACCGTGCTGCCGCTAGCAGCGCTAGCAACGACAACGCTAGTGGCACAGTGCCTACTAAAGGGCCTACTAAAGCACCTACTAGAGTGCCTCCTACCGAAGAGCCTGCTACAGGACCTACTAAAGAAGAACCTATAATTCCAGATAACGACCTAGAATTGCCTATCGACGACATTCTTAACAATATTGTTAACCGTCGATATAGCTAACCGGCCTTTGGCCCCTAGCTAGTAGCGAGGCTTTAAGAAGCTACCTAAAACAGGCTTACTGCCTTGCGTTAAGAACAACAGCTAAAGGATAACCTTCTCGAGATTCGCCGCCTCTAGGAATCTCTAACAACTACTGCTAAGCTAGCAGCAGGACCTTCTTTACTACCTATCTAAAAGAAGGATGCTAAACTTAAGGACTGCACCGTATTTAACGGCTCTAGTCGAAAGCAGTACAACGACTACATTCGTAACTGTAAACTCAACTAGCGCAATGCACTAAGAGCGCTACTAGACGACTATTCCTTAGTCGTATACGCTATACAGTACATTAATAGCGACCTAAAGCGCATATAGGATAACTATTTCGACTCCCTCGACGACTAGACCGCTGTTTAGTAGCAGACCTACAAAACTATTATACTAGATACCCTTAGAAACCCTATACTAAGGCAACAACATGCTTAGGACCTGTATCTTCGAGCTAAACAAAAGACTAATCAATCGGCTCGCTCATTTAAAGCCTATTTAAAAACCCTTAAAGACGACCTTCCGCCTAAGACTAATTCTATATAGATCTCCGAGATACGCCTAAAACTTAGATAGGAGCTTATCCTCGAATTGGACCGTCGCCGTGTGTTCGAACAAGCCAATCTAATACGTATTCAATTCATAGTCGAAGTAGAAACAGCCGAACGAGCTATTTAGCTCTAATAACGACTAGAATTAAGGATCCGACTAACTAGCACTAACCGTAGCAACCGTAGCCGCGGAGGAAACCAAGGTTCCTACTAGGACAATAATGCTAACAGTAGGAATAGTAACAACGACCGTGGAAGAGGCCGTAGCCGGCGGCTATATAGAGGAGGCCGCAATAGGGGCTGTAGAAGGGGCTCGTATCCCTATAGTACTAACCGCTTAACTAATAACAATAGCTACGGCAGTCTACTAACCGGATTGAAGTGCTTCAATTGTAATAGCACTAGCTATCTACTAGGCTAATGCGACAAACCTAAGGACTAGGCCCGAATTAATCGTACTTCCGCTAAATACCGAAAGCACCTCTTAGTAGCTAACGCTACCCCTATAGGCCAACCTTCGAAAAAAGAGTAAGCGCCGCACTAACTGTTAGCCTTATACAGCGTAAGACTATCGATATTGTGCTAGCTATAACACGCTCCTGCCTTATATAGGACACGAAGGGCACTACCTATCAAACTAAGGTTATACTAGATCTAGGAAATTCAGTTAGTACCCTTATCAGCTATCGCCTAGCCAAGCAATTAGACCTTCGACAACTGCCGAAGACTAACCTACTAACCCTTGCTTGGTTTAATAACGCT